AGATCTCTTGATATCTACTGCCCCTTTTCGTTGTACCTATTACGTGGGCTCTAGCGCTCCAGTGTGGTAGCTAATTAAAATGAGGGAAGGCATCTATTTGATAGTGGCTTGGCCACTCCATTCTGCAGTCCCATAAGAACTCCTAGGCTGGCTGGTTCTCTCGAAACATTCATCTGCCCCCTGCTTTCAAGGCCTGAAGCGACCACTGCAATAACCCAGTTCTAGTCTAACCTCCCACATAGCTGGGCCAGAGAACTCCAGCCGGGCACCAAACCCAGCAGGTCGATGGCTGAGCTAGAGCAGCGCTCTGGAAAGAGACCCCTGATCGGAACGTCACAAGCCCCCCCACGTCCCTTGGCCAGTTGTTCCAGCACTGTCCTTTTTCACCTCAAATCTCTACAGCCTGAAAGCGACGGGTGGCAGGGAGCTCGTCTGGCTAGCTGCTCGGACCCACGGGACTTCACCTCCCTACAGTTCACACTCTAGAGCCGGAGAGCCTTAAGTGACAAATCTTCCATTGGCGGACTATTCCAGAGGCAAAGCATTCTGCACCTCCCAGCAGACTTTCCTCGCAGTCCTTCTACAGCCTTCCTTCCTCAATTTCACCCTCTAGCCCCACCGACAGCCTCGAGTTAATGCCGCTCCCTTCCTTGACGTTTACACCCTTAGGTAACCCAAGCCCTCCCAGCTCCCTGGCTGAAGGATTTGGGGACACTCAGCAGCCCAGGCAGCCTCCCACAGAAATGAAAGCTGGCCAAGGACATGCTCATCGCTACCACAGACCCTGCAAAGCTGCCTGCACAGCCAAAACACAGATCAGTTTCCCCGTGCTACAATGCTAGTTGCTCTTGAAAGTGCAACAGAAGAGCAGGAGTGCTTTTTGATCGGAAATAGCCCGTAAATGCACAGCAGAGGAATAAACAAACACTTCTATCGCACAGCAGACAGAGCAGGAAGGGAACGGCAGCAGGAAGTTCTCTGGGTGGCACTTGTAGTAACAGAGTGAAGCAACCGAGAGTGGATGGCTATTTAGCCCTGCCAAACGGGAAGGGCATTTCTTCCACAACGCCTGTTTGCAAACAGGCGTGTAGCTCACCGGCGGGGAGAGAACCCACCCAAAGTGTACCCCACTACCAGCATAACAGTGGGAGCACAAGTGATAGAAGTTAGTGATTTTACACACCAGACCATCACCCTGGTATCGGGGTGCCTGCCGGCTTAAAATTGGCAGCAAGAGCAAAGTCCCTAGCGGACTTCATGGAGTCTCTAGAATAATTTTCCTTTTCAGGGTGAAATCTCAGCATGGGGGTAGGATGGGCTTTTAAAGATTTTATTAATTGCCTCGTTTTTGGTAGGCTTGTGGTAGAAGGGGACTAGACGGACCTTGGCTCTGATCCGGTCTGGCAGTTCTTACGACCCTAACCAATTTCTCGGGGTAGCTATTCCACGGGGACGTCCCCTCCACCCGAACTCCACCTCCAGTTCACTGCCATCCCAGCGCTGTCTGCCTGGACAAAGGCAACTTGTTCAATCCCACAGGACGGTGGGGAGTGCCCAATCTCATTCCTGACGGGTAATTGTCTGTGGCTGATCACACTGGCACCAGAATCATCATCTCCGCGGGGTCGGAGTAATTGCATGCGTGTGGGGGAGGGAGAAAGGAGAGCTGTGTGCAGCTATTAGAGACTCACACACCGACTTTGATTTGAATTACTGGTTTCCTGGACAGGGAAGGACAGAGGTGGGGAACCCCCACAATTTGCCTATTACAGCTGCTTCTGCGCGACCCCAGAGAAGGCTCCCGCGCCAGACTGCAGTACACCATGGAGCCCAGAAAACTCTGCTCACTGCAAGAAGTCTCGAGTCATTACTGTGTATTAAAAAGCTTGCAGAAGTGGCAGCTTTGCTGAATGCAAACGCAGCGGGGTTGTGCTGGGATAGGAGAGACCTCAGAAACTCGCCAAATGGAGACCTTTTCTTCTGAAAGGGAGCCGGGAAATGCAGCCGGGGCTGCGGAATAACTTGACAGTGAATGATGGCTGGAAATGTCAGCTTCTCAAAGCGGGCTGGCTTTACGCAGCGGACGCGGAAAACGAATTTAAGGGGAATTGGGTTGACAGTTCCCGAGATAACCAGTTCTTAAATCAATTTAAACCGAACGGGTGGGAGTTAGAATACAGGGCAATGATGCAAAATTGATACATAAATTTTCCTCATCTGAAGCATGGATCCCTTGGAGGGGAATGTGCCCAATGAATAAAACAGAGCGCACACGTCAGAGGGGGACAAAGCACAGCAGTGTGGTGCTGTCCACACACCAGGACGCACCACCAGCGAAATCCACGCACGTGACGGTACCGCCTGGCCTGCAACACACCCCGGCATTCTGCCTCCCACCGCACGCGAGCTATTCCCCACCCAAGAATGGATCGGCTCATCTCTGAAAGAGCCCCCTGCTCCCCTGCCCAGGGGCCAGCTCCCAGCCCCCTCCAAACACTGCAGTCGGCCTGATCTCAGTGCTTGCCGCATCTTCTGTAGGTTCACCTAAGGATCCCCATGGCTTGGGAAGGAGCTGCCAAGGTGAAGGGGCACGAGGATGGGATTTCGGAGAGGGGGAGTGGTCCTTCCTGGTGTTTTGAGATGCTAAAGGTCTAGTGAAAAGGTCACTGAGAATTCACGAGTGAGTCGCAGGCAGGAGCGGAAGCCTGCTGGAAAAGCTCTGGTGTGCAGAGATGCCCAAGGTCAAGGCAAAGATCTCTCTCAAAGAGAAAGGAGAGAGTGGTTCGGCGCCACGTCTAGCAGCCTCTCTGATAATTGGGCGCGTGGGGGGCACACTGGGCTTCCCCCCGTCCACTCCTCACAGGCCACAAGGTGAAACTGCTGCTAGCCCTGCAGGTCACTGTCCTGCCTTGGGACTGTCCTGGGCCCAACCAATGCCTGTCTGTGCAAGAGGAGAGTAACCAGCGCACGGTGCCCGTCTGCCAGGGAGCCAGCACGCAGGAGCAGGGGGAGCTGGGCTGGCTTTCTGAGAGGTGAAAGCGTTACACGCTCTGCGGCCAGGGAGCAGCCAGCTTTCTACTGGGATTAGTACGCCTGTTAACAGTGCTCCTTCCCCGGCGCTGCCCGAGCAGAGCAAGTCCCCCAGAATTGCTCAGTCTCCATAGACATGACACACACGGGGCGGGGGAGAGAGACTGGACACACAAGCAGAAGTGAGGACAGATGTGACAGCAGCAAACAGCATGGCAGTGCCGGGACGGGCAGGGATTCATTCTCTACTTAAATCTGAGGCAAGCAGGGGATTGGCTAGATGGAAAGACCAGGGGCGGGAGCAGCAGGCGCAGGGCGTGGAGCATGCCACGAGAACATGGTACAAAGCAGGCGCAGGCCTCTGACTGGCTCCTTCCCAAAGGCCCCGTGGCTGGGGGGCAGCCAGAGGGGGAGTCTCCCCTGCATGGTTCTAGGTCGGGGAGAAGAAGGGGCTGGCTGGGCTCCTTTGAACCCCCTTCAACCCGGTGCAGCAGGGCCTGCTCAGAGACTTCACAGCGTGGGGGTGAGCGGCCACACGCTCCCTGCGGAACAGAGAGCTGGTGCTTCACAGGGGTGAGAAACAAGCCCCAGCCTGAGCCCGGCTGCAGGAGTCAGCCCGAGCGCTTTCAACTCAGTGCCAGCCAGACCCGACCCTCTGCTCCACCTCCTGCAGAAACGTAGAGTCCCTTCCCCAAACCCAGAGTTAAACACCTGGTCACATGCCCCCGCTGTCGTCCCCCCCCCCAGGACTGCCGCCAGCACGTGCCCCGCCCCCGCTGCCAGCATGCGCCCCACCCCCGAGAGGCTGCCCCCTGCACATACAGCCGCCCCCCCGATTCTCACACACCTCTAGTTAGACCCCTCGATCTTTCCCAGCTGAGCTCTTCTGTCCCGGGAAATTGGTTCTCAATACTTTAACCAGCACCCAGATGCCTTCCAATTTCAACCAGCCACCCTTGGGTGCACTTCGGGCCTTTGCCAGTCAGCCCATGGAGCTCTCTCAGCTGCAAGCTTGCTAGGCCTATACACTCCGACTCTAAGGTCGGAAGGGACCATCATGATCACCTAGTCTGACCTCCTGCACATTGCAGGCCATAGAACCTCACACAGCCACTCCTGTGACAGACCCCGACCCTCTGGCTGAGTTACTGATGTCCTCAAATCATCCGAGTGGCACCCTGCCCACGCTGCAGACCTGACGTCCCGGGGCTGGTTCAGACCCCAGCAAAGCAAAGCGAGGCCGGAACCATGAGATGCAGATCTCGGAACAAGGTCCGAGGCCAGTTACCATGGGAGTCGGGGCTCAGTGGGGCTTGTCTGTCTGCCTGCCAGGGACCAATTTTGCAGCATCTACCCACTTCCTGGCGGGTCAGCAGAACACCGAGCAGCCGCAGGGCTCCATGGCTGGGGAACTCGACCAACCAGCAATTGCTGTCCCTCTCCTGGACGGCACAAAGGGCACAGCTGGGCATTTCACCGGGGAACGGGCACAGCCCCGCCCCCAACAGACCCTTCCAATCCCAAAGGCTGCTCCCTTTGCTTGAAAACGTTTCACTAACCCAAGCCTTACCGGTGAGCACGCTACGTTATAAACAAACTTCCCCACCGAGAGCAGGGAATAACGGCCAGGGAGAAGCGTGACTCCAGAGCACACCCCAGTGAGGCGCAGCAGCCCAGATCAAACGCCGCCCACCGGGACCTCACCAGCTAGGGCTCTGCTGACCACAACACTCACCTCGAGCGCCACTCGACCCGCTCAGCAAGTCCCAGCCGGAGCCCAGTCTCCGCTCAGGATCAACCAACACACTGTGGCACTGTTCGTGGGGAGACAGTGGCCCAACAGGGGCCCACGAGCACTCCCTACCGACTGCCCGGGAGCCAGGGCCACGGCCCTCTGCCGCCGCCTATTTCAGCCACGGTGGCCACTGTGTGCACGGGGAGGTGGGGCACGGTGGGGGCACATGTCCTACCTCACGCTGCAGCACCAGCTCCTTGGTGAAGACGGTGGCTTCTTCGCTGAAGGGCTCTCCCTCCTGGACCAGGCCGGGAAGGTTTCGTGCTCCGCGGGGACACTCGATACCTGAGTGGGGCGATAAACACACCTTGGTGAGGAGATGAGCCCCCAAGGGCCTCACGTGGTGTCACGGGCGCGAGAGGGGTGGGCAGGTTCTCGTTCTGCTGAACCAGGCCCCTCAGCTTCACCTGCTGTAAAGTTACCCGGATAGACATGACAGCACCAGATTTCCAAGCTCCAGACCCCTCGCTGGCACAGAACTTGGTACAGAAGGTTCCATCTCCATGCTTGGCCTGGAGACCACACAGAGATGTTGCTCTGCAAAGCCACCCAGGGCAGTGGCTCAAGAGGGAGCCTTTCATCCTGGGTGCCACAGTCCCTGCAGGCCCCAGAAACATGAGACCCACGGCACGCAAGCTGGGCACGGCTCCTGGCTAGCTGCCAGCAAAGCCTCGGGATGGGCACAGGAACGTCTGTGCTGCCCTACGCATTAGATCACTGGGGGCCTGACCCAAAGCTCGCGGAGCCAACCGGAGTCTCCAGCGACTTCAGGAGACTCCTGATCAGGGCCAAAGGGCCTGGGATACCCCCGGGGGTTCAAGGAAAACGTTTATGGACAGGGAAGGTGCCCAGACACTATGGTGATGGGCACTATAGAGACTCCACAGGAGCAGACAGCCAAGCCCTGGGAGGGGAAGGACGGCTAGGCAGAACGCATTGCCCATGTCCCCCCAGCAGAGAGGAGGGGGTGGCTGAGGAAAATGCTCTGCCAGGAGCCAGGTGCTTGAAATAATCTCTGAGCTTGGGCGGGAGGAGGAGGAGGAGAACAGAGATCTAAATAAGGTATCACAACTTCCGCCAGGATGATCAGGATAATCGTCAAGTGAAAGGCAAGTGTGTGGACAGCCCTGACCCTGATGCGAGGAACGCTTCTATTAACTCCTTTTACAGCGAGCGAGCGAGCACCCCCCCACTCCCTTGCAAGGCAAGCGCTGGATTTCCTCTGCAGCTTGCAAGCGGAATGCTGATCAGCTCAGGCCCAGGCCAGGAAGGGAAGTAGTTTAAAGTCGGGTGAAATCTACAAAGCTGGGGGAGGGGGGGGGGCTTCCACTCAACCCAGGAGCCCATTTCTGCAAAACAATTCTACAAAGTAATAAAAGCTGGGAAAGCAAGCACCAGGACGGAGCCTGAAATGAGCGTTTAGAGAAGGGAGTGTGCTGTCAGCTGGAGAACAAGGGGACCACAGTGCATAGAGATACTTTATTACAGCCACCGCCGCATCTGTCAAAAGGCTCATTCACCGAGAGTGTGCGCGCTCTGCGAAATGTCAGTGCGGCTTCGCCAGCAGCAGGGAGCGCCCAGAGCTCCCTGCCCAACCCAGCTCAGCTCCTCAGACCCCCAGCGACAGCCCCCCTCACTCCTGATAGCCTGGATAGCCACCCACGAATCCAGTCAGAACGCACGGCCAGCCCTTCCTACCAAGGGTTGCTCGCTATGCTGGAGACCCGGGGGAGAGACCTCCAGAATGCACCCTCCTTCCCATTCATGCCGGGCAATGCCCGCACAGGCAGCTACACCAGGAGCGAAGGTGAGCGGGATGGGGACGCCCATGGATTCACAGTGTCAGAGACCCTTGCTGGTACTCTAATTGGGCCCCGTCTGGCCGTAGAATCAATGCTATACATGCCTGGGTCCCCCACTTCACCCCACTCCATCCAGTGTGCCCCCGTGAAAAGCCCAACTGGGCCAGCGAACCCATTAACTCTTCTGTGACCCAGCTGGACGCGCGTCACCAGGCTGGGGCGATATTGTTGCTGACGGGGGACACAGCGCAGAGCCGAGTGCGGGCAGAGGCGAGAACCACGATGCTCCAGCGGGAAGGGAAGGGGGTTTCCTCTCCCAGGGAGCAGCACAGACACTGTAACCTGCTGCCAGCGAACCCAGCTCCTGGGCTGGGGGAGGAAGGACCTGGCTGCTTGGACCAGATGGGGAAAGTGAGGTGCACAGAGGCAGCCAACATTCAAACCTGGCTGCCTAGAGTTCGCCACCTGAACAAGCCGCCCGATTTTCCGAGGTGCTGCCCCATTGAAGCCAACAGGAGTGGTGGGTGCTCAGCAGACTTTTAGTTGCCTACCCCTCGGCAGTCGGGACGCCAATCCCAGGGAGCAGTTACCCTGACCCAGTGGGCAGAGTTCTGGAGGAACAGAAATCGTTGCAGGCATGTGGCCCAATGTGAAAACGCTGCCCCGAGCATGCAGCCCGAGGTCACCCAGCGTAGCAGCGACACAGCACAGGTGGGACTTGGACACCATCTCCTACGCCCGGCTCGAAAGCCAGAGGAGCAGCAGAAGCCCCGCCGGGAGGCAGACAAGGCATAAAACATTGCCCAGAGCCAGCTAAACATCTCAAGGGAGATACTGCTGGAGGTACAGACACGATCCCAAGCCAGTTTAATAAGTGCGCATAATTTTGGGTTGTGCTTATTACCTTTAATAGCTGCCTTTGCTGATAACTCCGACTGGGCACTGCCTGATAAGCAAGTATTAATTCTGCCACGTTATTACAGACACAGAAGCAGGTCAAGTGCTAGTCTTACCCCCAATCCCCAAATCGTGCAAGTCATTACTAAAAATAAAAGAGGGCTAAAAGCTGGAACATTCACACTCCAGTTCCAAGCTGCGAGGGGGATTTCTAATGGAGATGCTGAGAGCAAGAGGCAGCGTCCCTATGCTTTAGGTCTCAGCCAAGAGAGCGGACGAGCCAAAGACGCAATGTGAGAATGCACCATGCTCCCAGTTTTCGGGATCTTCCTTCTGACAGTCACCCTGGCCCCAGCCCTCAGCCGCATTACGTTCACACGGCCTCAGTCACTCAGCTGGCCTGTCTGCAGTGGATTTAGTCACACGTGGTGAGGGATGGAGTTTACCATGAAGCTACGATTAGAGGGAGGTTGATACAAGAATGTGCTGATAATAACCCCCCAAAAGTGTACAGGGCTACTGACCCATGGAGACTCAATCACTTTAGGAAAAAGAGTAACACACACAGCACTGCAATGCGGCCACCTCTGGGGTGCAGCCAACTGACAGTCCACAGCAACGCTAACCAACAGATTAGGGCAGGAAGGGAAAACCTAATAATGCAACTGAGGCTGCAAGGGATATTTAGGGATTACAATTTCCGGTCTAGGCATTAGGATGCATGTCTCCAACTGGCTGGCTGTGTTTCAATCCCACAAGAAGTGGCCAAAGCCATGTATAGCGCGCTAGCAATCCCAGGCTGGATCCACATTAGGCTGCACCCTGGGGTAGGCAGAGGAGAGAGGTCTCAGCTCTGCTCAAAGAGAGGATGGAAACCGGGGCCCACGATGGTCAGCGTTCATGGTACATGTGGTGTCAAAGCTCTCAGGGACAGAGCCCTAAGGGGTCTCTGTCACGGAGTCCCCAGGCGATGCTCTGTCCCTACGAAGCCAGGCAGGACTCTGGGGAAGTCTCCTCTCTGTGAGCAGCCTGTCTGCAGGACACACAGCTCACATGGCTTCCACTTTCCTGGGTCTGACCTCGGAGCATTCAGCATCCTCTGCCCCTCCGTGCGCTTCCCACAGCGAGTCCGCCCAGGCGGGGTCCTGGGGAAGACAGAGGGTCCTGCCCCCCAACTGCACAGTCAGACGGGACTCTCAGCCAGCCAGTAAAACAGAGGTTTATTAGATGACAGGAACATGGTCTAAAACAGAGCTTGTAGGTACAGAGAACAGGACCCCTCAGCTGGGTCCATTTTGGGGGGGCAGTGAGCCAGACAACCACGTCTGCACTTCACTCCATGTCCCCAGCCAGCCCCAAACTGAAACTCCCCCCAGCCCCTGCTCCTCTGGGCTTTGTCCCTTTCCCGGGCCAGGAGGGCACCGGATCCCTTTGTTCTCCAACCCTTTAGCTCTCACCTTGCAGGGGGGAAGGGCCCAGGCCATCAGCTGCCAGGAAACAGGGTGTCAGCCATTCTCTGTGTCCAGACCCCTGCACACACCTTCCCTCTAGGGCTCTACAATGATCATACACCCTTATCCCACCACCTAGATACTAAAGAACTGCGTAGGGGAAACTGAGGCACGCCCACAATATTCAGAGGAAACATTAAGAACAGTTCCGCTTCGTCACAGTCTCCCCATGGGACTCAGGGAGCCTGGGGCACAGGCCACACCACCACACCAGGTTGCACTTCTGGCCCTAACAAGCCACAGAGAGTGCACGTGGGGTTAACGCCATTTATGCTTCAGAAGCCATGACATTGCCACGCAAGAGAACCACCAGGAGCCAGTCCCAAGGGAGGAGTGAGCACCCTGGAGCAGAGACCAGAGCAGTTTCTGCAACGAAGGGCACAGGACAGAGGCTGGGGCAGTCTTGGCCCAGCTGAGCCTCGGGAGCCAGAGGCAAAGGGCAGGGGAAGAATCCCAAGGAGGAGCCGCAAGGATCTGCGAACACGCTGAGGTGGTGGCACGGCAGCAAGGCCAGGGCCCCACACTCCAGGCAGGCTGGTGCCCTCCCACCTCTGCACAGTGAGGCAGCCGTTCAGAGCCCCGTCCCAACTCAGCAACGACTGCTGCTCAGACTGCTCTGGCTTTGGCCTGGCTGTGCCGAGCCCCTCCCCTGGCTCTGAGCCGGGAATGAGGGGCCGGCTCTGAGATCCTCTCCCAGGGATCCAATACCTCCTCACAAAGACAAACAGCCAACAACCCTGCCCAAGCCTCAGCACCAGCCAGGGGTGGATTTCATCCTGGAAGGGTACAGCAGACCGGCTGGTGGTGGGCAGAGGCGAGCTGGAGAACTGAGAATTCCCCTGGCCGGACACAAGGTTTGCTGGAATCGCGCTGCCAGGTTCTTCCAGGGACCAGGGAGTCAATGCCGCTGAGCGGCAAGGCCCAATGGCTGGGTGCCCAAGGCAGCGGGACAGGGCCAGTCAGCACCCCACAGCACACCAGCCATCACGTTACCACCCAGCCACCGGAGCCATTGCTCGCCTTCCACCCCGCCGGCGAGTGCTGACATGAAAGGGGTGTCTGATGTATGAGTGGG